GCATATTTACTATTTAATAAACCAAAATACAATAAAAGCCTCCCTTTGCTTCCCATGCTTTTCAGTACAGGCTGCAGGCGAGATGATTTCAATAAACAGCTGTAGATTTTTTTATTATGATCCAGCAGAGCTGACTCAAAAGATGGCTCCCCAAGTTAAAATTGTTAAAATTGTTGTTAAAATTTCACAGGCGTGCCAAAACCTTTCTAGATTTCTGTAGTTCTTTGTGGTGGGAGCTTTCTTATGAAAAGAAAGTTTCTTGTATACGATCTTGGCTTTTTATTTTGTTAAAATTATGTTTTAAGAGTTGAGCTGCCTTTAAATGTCTGGCGGATATCCTAATGCTGACTGTGCTGTGCTATATCTGCACTCAATCTAATGCATGAAGTTATTACAAGGTTCAATTCTGCACTGTTGGGGAAAAAAAGCAGGACTCCATTCTCCTACTTCATGTTTGTTTTAGAAAAGCTCTACCACATACAGTATTCATTAGCATTTTGCAGATCATTTTCTTTGTAGAGCTATCAACAGACAAATGTTCTATCTAGGTAGTGAATGTTTGAAGTGGCGGTCTGGCTCTCAAGATAGCAATTGTATAAAAACTACAGAAGTAATGCCCTGCTTCTACCATACGAATCTGGATTTTGCAAGACCTTTGGGGTTCCAACCATTACAAAACATCAGAGACTATGAGGAGTCACCAGATTAGAACAGAAGCTCTGTATTCCATGCTTATGAGACTCTGAAGGACAGCAGCTGCATAGACTGGTCCTTCCCTATTCGGTTCTGTGCCCTTATTCCAATGTAATACCCAGTGTCATTCAGGCTTCTTGCCCTAGCAAAATCATAATTTCCAGGTAAGCACTGATTCTAAATTAGCACAGTCTTGTTAGCATACAACTTGGATAAGCCATCTTGAACATTCCCTGGCAAGTTGAGGAATGCATGAAATAATCACCTCTAGATGCTTAATTCAGAAAAACAGAATACTTACAAAGAATAAGAGATTCCAAAGGGATTCCCAAGAGAGCTTAACACAGCATCTCTTCAATACAGCTACATTTGTGAGCAAGTACCAGAAGTTTGTTTCAACATTGCTTAACTGCTGGTTTATACTACCTCAAGAACTCGTTTCCTGATTGGATGTATCAAATCGTTGTCATAAAGAATTTTCAAAAGACGGAAAGTATTGCCACCACCTACAGAAAGAGAAAGTACCGTTTGATCAAGTTTATTCCTTTTGTTATTTGGGTCCACATACTGTGCATTCTAAGCTACCCAGAAATAAATCCCACTAAATTAAGAGGACATACATTTTCAGATAAATATGCTACAGGATTATATCCTAGCAGGAGAAATAATACCTGGTATTTTGATCACTGCAATACAAAAAAGATGTTAAGACTCTATAAAGAGTGCAGAGAAGAACAAAAAATATGATTGGGGGAGTGGAGGTTAAAGGGTACAGTGAACGGTTGTGGGAACTGGGTATATCTAGCCTAACAAAGAGAACTAGTGATGAGATGACAGCAGTCTTCCAATATCTCAGGAGCTGCCACAAAGAAGAGGGAGTCAAGCTATTCTCCAAAGCACCTGAGGGCAGGACAAGAAGTAATGGATGGAAACTAATCAAAGAGAGATCCAAACTAGAATTAAGGAGACATTTCCTGTCAGTGAGAACAATTAATCAATGGAGCAGCTTGCCTCCAGAGATGTGGGTGCTCCATCTCTGGAGGTTTTTAATTTAGGCATGAAATCTGAATCCACTGAATTAGAGTCTTCTTCTAAAAGCCCACAAAGGCCATTTAAGAACCTGATCCTAGGGAAAGTGGAATCATTTTGTAATATCCCTATTACCCCACTGTACCAAATCAACTGAAACAGGCAATTGGGGTTCAAGGAGGTTACACTGGCTACATCAGAGATACAGGGAGTCCTCGATTTACGACCATTCAAAATTACAACAGCATTAGAAAAAATGATTAACAATCTGTCAACTCTGCAACGAACCTGGCTGCAGCCATTTTTTCATTTTGGGTTGCCACAAGAAGGGAGGGGGGGGAAGACAGTATTTCTGGTAGACTAAACATGAGCAACTCTCATGGGAACCAAGGTCATTCTCATGCCGGAGGGATGGAGGAAGATCATTGAGTTAGAAAAGCCCGCCAAGGGGTTCTATTGGGCAGCATGACTAGAGGGGTGGGAATTGTTACATTGTATTACTTTGATTCTTGGGGGGAAGGTTTAGATCTGGTTTCACTTTTGCATGTGCCGATATTATGTATCCAATAAACATTTTCTTTGAGGAACTTTCTGATTTATTTGGTCTTATTGATTGGAACCTTGACATTCTCGCTATGACCATTGCAGTACCTGTGATTATATGATTGCGATTTGGAAGCTTGGCAACTAGCTCATATTTACAATGGTTGCAGTGTCTCGCGGTCACGTGATTACGATACTGTATGCAAACTTCCCAGCTAGCTTTCAATAAGCAGTCAGTTTGGGAAGCCAGATTCTTTTAAGGAAGATGTGATTCACATAATGACCATGTGATTTGTTTAAAGACTGCAGTGATTCACTTAACAGCTGTAGTAAAAATGGTCATAAAGTTGGGTTAAGTCATCTGATGACTCAATCACTACATCACTTATTGACCAAAATTCTAGCCCCACCAGTCATAAGTCAAGGACTACCTGTACTTAAAATCTTAACTGTGGGATCTATAATTTTATTCCTGATCATTTCTGAAATGAAAACAAAACAATTTTGCTGCATGGAGAGTCCAGAGTGTAAATGTTAGCAGTGTGAGAGAAGGATGATATATGAGTTGATTCTGCCCACCTCCAGCATTGATATATGTTCAGAATCAGGTGGTCTATAGTCAAAATAAGTTCCTTTTTCCTGATGTAGACTCAACTATGCTAAATAGACCAGGGCCAATGTAACACATTTCTTCAAATGTAAGGCTACACTCTAAGTATAATTTTTAGTTGTTTTAATTGTTAAAACATGACTGTCTTGCAGATACACATACATTAAAAACTAATATTCAGGACTCTGCAGAATTTGGAAAAGTCTATGTTTCTGCCACCACACTTAAAAAGCAGAAGTAGAGGTCAGAGGTCTCTTTACTACTCTACTACCTTTGCCTTTTTGTATCTTAGTCTATCCTTATCAAGAAGGCAGTCTCTGTACAAATACTTTCAAGAAGTTAATATTTACCAATGAATATTGCCTCAGCTTTTCTTACAGCTTCTCTTGGATCGCTTGATTCATGGATACTGTCTAGTCCGTAGCCTAAGAAGGAGACAAGAAGTTACATATAAATCAGTAAGCTACAATGTGCACTGTAACAGAATGTAAAAGCAAGAGGTTCCCAGGTCAGAGACAGAGTCCTGGATAAGAACTAAAATACTATAATGAATTCATGATCAAAAGATCAATCAGGAAATAGTCTTTGGAGCAAGTTTTATACCTGTGCAGAAAACAGGAAGTTGAAGAAAGGATACTAAATAACCTGGAGTGTTGTTGCTATGACCACGTAGAACAGCCTTGCTATCCCCCTTAGCCTCCATCATCAACTAAATTAGATCAAGCCCTAGGATAGCATAGTATAGTATATAGTATAATTATAACACACACACACACATATATATATAAAATCAATATAAAAATATTGAATAGCTTCCAATTTAGTGCCTTGGAGCAAAAAGGTTACCCACCCATCTTCTACGTGAATCAAGGACTGACTTACCTAAACTTTCCAGCTTCTCCCTTGCCAGTGCAGCATATGCAGTTTGGTCATGAAGAGCATAGGGGACAAACAGAATTTTCCTCACCTGCCTAGGAGAATCAATTTTATGATAAACAAGCAAAAGTTTGGGATTGGGCAGTATCTCATTTTACCTTAAAAGGTAAAACAATATGAAAGTCCCCTTCCCCACCATTCTGATGTTTACATAGCATTTTAAAGCAAGAATCCAGCTAAGCAGCCAGTTTGATCACCTATAATAATAATAACTTTATTGTCACTTTGAAAGTACACCAATCAGCATACATCAAAATGAAATGCCTATTAAGGCAGGCAGATTACTTTTAAATAATAGACTCTGAAAAAAGCAATCAATTTACCTTCTTCCACATAAGAACCCTACAGATTTACTGAAACATTCTTTTTCCATAATCAGTTATCCAGAAACACTTTTTGATAACAAGCTGCTTGTTATTTATATTTACACACCAATCCTATTTAAATATTATCCAACGTTAAATAGTTTTCTGATTACAGAGCTTCATTTTTATAGCAACAGTAACAACAGGTAACTCGATTCCTGTTCTGGCATAGAAATAGACAGTTTTAAAAATCTTCTTTCACTCTGAAAAGGAGGCAGCACGTACTGTGCAACCAGCAAGTTAAAAGGAGAAGTCAAGGAACCGTTTGGGGAGGCAAAGCGACCCCTGGGGCCGTCAACCTGGAAGACGCAGCGCCCCTTCTCGGCTAGCCACCGGGCGCTATCTCTCGTGTAAACTTACGCCCCCAGGAAGGTCTTGATCTGTTCCTGGCAGTGGTCTAGGTAGCCTCCGCCGTAGAGGGTGGAGTTGGAAATCAGCAGCAGCCGCCGCCGGCGATTTTCCATCTTGCTCAAAAGGCGCGACGGTGCCTCTTCCAGGAAGCCGTGGAAAAGCCACCTGGCGCTGGAAGAGAGGAGGCGACCAGGAAGCTCCGTTTGGAGAGGTGTGTCTGGCTTGCCAATCGGCGGAGGGAGGAGAGGCCGCCCAGGAGAAGAGCGGAATGCGGATTAGCGCCAGCCGCGGGGTCGGCCCCCCCGCCAGGCCAGCTCCCCTCCCGCTCGCGCCGCTAAAGACTCGATTGCTTTCGCCTCCCTCCTCGGATCTCCGCCTCTTTCTGTGCATTGGGGCTGCAGAGCGGAGACCGGCGCGGACGTGGACGGGTTTGCTTTTGAAGGGAGGGCGGCCGGCCGAGTGGGGGGGCGCGACCACCATGCTGGACTTTGCCATTTTCGCCGTCACCTTCCTGTTGATCCTGGTGGGAGCCGTGCTTTACCTCTGCCCGGTAAATAAGTGGGGTGTGAGCCACGGGGGTGGGTGGGTCCGTAAACCAAACCAAAGGGCACTTTCGCTGCCACGTACTCGTTGCAATGCAATCCTAGGCAACTTTACTCGGAAGTAAGAAGTCGGGGCTTCCTCGCAGACAAGTGAGCTGGGACTATCGCTTTGCAACGTCCAATTCGTGTCTGGGACTGTCTGGAAGGAGCAGTTCCGTTGAGTTTCTTGGGACGAAGAGGTCGCCTACCTCCCATGGTTTTGCGGCAGCGGTTTAATAAAGCTCCTCCTTTGTTCCTTACAGTTTTACTCTGACGGCCGAAGATGGGACAGAAACTATTTTCTGATCCCCCCCCCCCCGAGCGCCTATCTATTTTTGGGCTTTCCAGAGACCACCCACCTTGCTGCCAGTGAGACCTTCCCCACGAAAGGGTGTCCCATTCTGTCCCCCTCCCCCCGGCTATTTAATATATTTCTGAAAGCACGGGAAGAGGATTCCCAAAGTTTTCCCAGCAACACCCATCTTGCTCTCTTCTATTCATGAAAAATCCGAGAAAACTGCAACGGATGCAGACAAACAAAATGGAAACTTAAGCAGAGAAGCCCTTGGTCGGTTGATTTATTCAGTCAATCAGCCCACCACAACTCTGGAGGAAAAAGCAAATCAGAGAAAAGGAGTTCAGTGTGTACTCAGTGTGGACAGCAGGTGGCAGCATTTAGCCAACTCTGAAGAAATAATGGACAGGATAGGATGGGGTTAATATTTCAATGGGAGACCACTAGGAATAGTGGCATTCTGGAAGAAAGTAACCATTGACTACTTCCATATTGTTGCCAAAATGTTTCCATTAAATCAAGAATCAAGCTCTATAACTTCCAAGGAGTGTTTATGTTTAATTTACAGGAACACTAATCCAAAGAGCAGAATTGGTGTAGGTGGGTCTCACACACCAGTAGGGTTCAGTTATTTTCTTTTTCTTTGATTAGTTTTCTTTCGCTTCATATATTCTAATATCCAGATGTATCCACAATTTCAATTTAGGATGAGGGCCAGGATCCTATCAGGGATAATCTCAAATTGTGACCATTGACCACTGCAAAGCACCCTTTGAAAGGGATGTGAAGGCCCCTTTTCTGCCTTAGAGGGTGGACAGCTCAGTTGGGAAGAAGATGGGCTTACATGGGCCTGTGATCTGAGCAAGGAGGGAAGAAAGCTTACTGTGGTGGGAGGGGCTTTGGGTCACGAAGGGAAGTAGAGAAGGAAATTGTTGGCATGCCGGAGATGGAAAGTCCAGTCCCTACCAAGGATGGGAAACATTGGGGATAGGGGTTTATCACGGGCTTGGTGAACTATTCCAAATCCTGGACATTAGCACAGTATCAAGATTCTTCTAATGCCAATTATTTTAAATTTTTCTGCCTTGGCTTTCTAAAAGAATTGCCCTTAGAGAGCCTGTAATATGAATTAAGACGAATAAAAATGTAAACTTTACAGTCTGGAAGATTCAGCACAAAAAGAAATAGGATGAGGAGGGAGGAGGGAAGGTAATGTTAGATAGTAAGTTGTCGTACAGATTAATATCTAAAAGCGTAGAGGAATTAAACTTCACTATCTAATATAACTTTTAAATTTGTTAGATTGCATCTGTAATCCAGTTTTGAATGGGAAATTGCCTAAAATATGTTCCCTTGAACTCCATGATGGATCAGCAGCACAAGCAATTTATAAATTAACAATTCTGAATAGCTGGGTTTGAATGCAAATATATGTATTTAGGATTAAAATAAACTACAATCACATACATGTTTAATCCTGTAGAAGTTATGATTTGATTTTACATTTGATAAAATCATAAGCATCTAGATTTAAGGAAATAGGCTAAGTAATACATTTCTTTTTGTGTTGATTTGATAATATTAACATCTTAATCTTTCCAATTATGTTACCTTCTTTTTTAGTCTTCCCGACAAGCTTCAGGAATCCCAGGGATCACTCCAACGGATGAAAAGTAAGTTACTCCTTTCTATATCATTTCCCTTTTCTACACAGGTGTGTCCTTAGAATTTTTGGGTCCATGGGCATGTTGCAAATTTTAAGAAAATGTTTAGGACTACCACATTTTATTTGGAGGAGGATAAACTTAGCATTGGAAATCCCTTTCCTGTTTCCTATGTATATTATTGTCTATCTGCTTTTTTTCCTTCTGATCTCAATAATTGCTCTCCCTTTTTCTTCTAAAGACAGTTCCCTTGCCTACTCCATCCTTTTCCTAGCTGATTTTAGTTTTTATCCCCATCTTTTAAACAATGAAGCTGTAGTCTGGAGCAACCTCTGCAAAGTTTCTAAGACTGTTTGGATCAAGCTGGTTCAGCAGGGTGAAAAATATTCTTTAAATGTGTTGTCCATCTCAGCAACGGTAGCAATGCCTAATTGGAAATGAATTATTCTAATGAAACACTCTGGTCTGGTTGACATAATTAGTTGGTAGAGTCATAAACTATGCTTTAAATCCAGAGGTTTTGGCCTACAAACTGTGGTTTGTGGGTTATTTGTGCCCAGTTTACTGTGATAGTTAGTT